CTCAAAGGCATCAATTATTTTTTTGGCATCCTCGTTCACTGCCCAGCTCTAGATTCAGAGCAAGCAATTGAGAATACTAGAACTTGAATCAGGAGCATCTTAATTTTAGGGTGAAATATTTTCTATTTAACATTCAAGAGAGAGACAGGTCCCTAACAGCAGATTTTTCCAGTGCAACTTGTATTTGATTTCCTGACTGCTGGAAAGGGTGTTGATTGTGGATTTGAGCAAGCTGAAATTGTTAACTTCAATCTTCCTCCATCTATCATAATGCTACTTATTGACCTAGTGCTGATAATTTGTGTTTTCCTGGGGTTGAAATGAAATCGATATTGAAGGCTGCAGTCCTTGATCTTATGTCACAAGCTCCTCAAGTCCTCCTCAGTTTTGGTGAGCAAAGTTATGTCATCTACATAACACATAACTCTTTCACCAACTCTCCACCTTTCCAAGCATGTTATCTCTCTCCAAGGAATAGCCTTTCCTAGCATTATACCAGAAGTATGGGGGACAAAACCTTACTATTTTTGCTTCCATAAGCACTCTGGCTGCACTTTCTTGAAAACATACCTATGAGTTCTTTTGGCATTCATTGGTATATTCAGTATTCTTCTCCAACACCACAGCTCAATTAAATCAATTCTTATATTGCCATCTTTATTCATTCCCCAGCTCCTAGATGCACAGCGAGTGATTGAAAAGACCATGGCTTAAATCAGGCACACCTTAGTCCTTAAACTGACAGCGTTATTCCTCTATCATTTTATTCTGTTATATAACATTACGCTAATATTGCTTTCTCACTAATGTTTGTGATTTAGGAAAGACTTATTTACTACATTTTCTTCAGGATTTTCCCAGTTTCTGCAATAGAATTCACATGAAAATGCATATAACCATTGATCCCAGGCCACTGACCTAGGGAAATAGAAAGGGACAGACTTGGAAATATATTCTTCTTGAAAATATTCAGAAAATGTCTTAGTGAAAAATTAATAGCAAAAGTTTTATTCTCCCTTTTCTTTAGTATCAACTTTTATATCTAAACTGGTTTTGTTTTAGTCTAAATAATGCCAAACACTTAGTTATTAGTTATTCTTGAACATGTAGTTATTTGAATATTTGTCACTATAAAAAGTTATTTGTCACTATAAAGAGATACTATCTCTGTTGCCATGGGAAATGGTGAAAGTAGGGTGGGAGTGATTGGAAATGTGATTCAGTTTACATTTCTTTTGTGGTTGGCATAGAAACTTTATTTTTAAGATTTGATGAAGTTTTGAAACTAGTAGTATTCTGAAAAATTTACTGTGATAATCACAAACATTCCTGAAGAGACATCACTTGTCTCTTAAAGATAGTATCTAAGGCTTGTTGCTGTTATATACCATCAAGTGGAACTGGGTTTTCAGAGGCAGTAAATTACATAGGAAGACACTGTCCATCTTTCTCCCACTAAGTACCTGGTGGATTTGAACCATGTACCTTTGCATTGGCAGCACAATTCTTTACCCCTGAACACCAGAAGGGATGTCTAGTGGACTAGTAATATGGAGCTCTGACTCAATGGTACATAGCAACAAGAGGCCACTAGAGCTACCTAAAGATCACCTTGAAGTAATTTGAGATTCTTGGCTGTCAGGGATGGTAAAATGCAAAATAATTCCCTTAAGTCATTTACATAATATGTTAGTTGCTTTTTACAAAGCATGCTAGGATTTGCTGCAGCTATTAATGTTATAAGCAAGCGAAATCATGCTAAAGTTTATCCTAAAGTAACTAGAACAGTACATTGACAGAGATCTACCAGAAATATAAGCTGGGTTTTGAAGAGGCTGTGGTACTAGGGCCATCATTGTCTACATCAGATGGATCTTAGCCAAAAGCAGAGCCTATCAGAGGAATGACTATCTGTGTTTCTTTGACTTTGCAAAGGAATTTGCATGGATCACAACAAATTGTGGCTAATATTGAAAATAATGGAAATCCCTGAATATTTAATTGTGCTCATGAGAAACTATACTTGGACCAGGAGATAGTTGTTAGAACAGAGCAAGGAAATACTGAATAGTTAAAAACCATAAAAGCAGTGCATCAGGGATATGTCCTGCTCCATACCTTTTCAATCTGTATGCAGAACAGATCATTTGGGAGGCTGGACTTTAAGAGGAGGAATGTAATAACAGGGTGGGAGAAGACTCTTCAACAATCTGCATCATGCAGATGACATAACCTTATTTGCTGAAACTGAGGAGAGTCTGAAGCATTTGCTGCAGACGGTCAAAGACTGTAGTCTTCATTAAAGCTTAACATCAAGGAAACAGTTTCACCACTGGACTAATTGGAAACATCATAATAGATGGAAAAGAGATTGAGATTGTTAAGAATTTCATCTTGTTTGTGTCTATAATCAACACTCTTGGTACCAGCAGTCAGGAAATGAAAAGACAAATTACATTAGGAAAACCTACTGTTAAGAACTTCTCCAAAGTGCTGAAGAGCAAGGATGCCAGTCTAGAGAATAAGGTGTGCCTGACCTGGATTATGGTCTTTGCAATTACTTGCTGTATGTCATAGAGCTGAACATTGACCCAGGATAACAGAAGAAGAGGTGATACCTTAGAGCTATAGTGCTGGAGAAGAGTAATGAACATACCATGAACTGCCAAGTGAAATAACAGGTCTGTCTTGTAAAGGGTGAAACGAAACTACTCCTTGGGACTCCATTTCTTATACTTTGAATGTGTAGCCAGGAGGGACCCATCTTTGGAGAAGGATATCATACTTGAAAGGGTTGAAAGACAGTGCAGGACCGAAAGACCTTGGATGAGATAGATTGACTCAGTAACTAGGGTAATGAAGGTAGATGTGTCAGAGACGATGAGATTGGCTCAGAATAGAGCAGCATTCAGATCTATAGTGCATAGGGTTGCTATGAGTCATAGTTGACTTTACAGCACATAACAATAACAATGACATTCTTGGGGCAAAAGTCCCTTATCAGGAGTTTAAATTAAAATAGATGACTGTATTCATAGCTATGCTAAATTTTTCCTTGAAAAAAGAGTTTCAAATATAAATTTTCAAGCTATTTGAGTATTCTCTATGTGGAAATTTTTCCTGAATCAGGGCTAGAGGACTGATTACTGTGAATTTTATTACAAGACTCTGTAATTACTTTGAAGGCTCTCTGGAGGACCGAATGAGTTGCCAGAGAATTTTCTGTTCTTACAAGCTAGCCACAGAATGCCCTTGGAAATTTAATAACAAAAAACATCTTGTCTCGAATATTTAGCAAACAAACCACAAACCAATCCCACTGTGGTCATCTTATTACCATTCATGTTAAACCCTCCATTGGTTTTCCAAGGCTGTAAATCTTAACATAGGAGACTTCAATTTTTCTCTTGCAGAGTCAAAAGTGGATGTGAACTCACAGAGAGGTGCAGCCTTTGGATTAGCGGCATAACTCCTTATGGATTGGAGAAGGTCTCTAAATTTCCTCTAGCGCTGTTCAAATTGGGAACTGTTTTCATAGTTGATGGGGTATGTTGGTTCCCAAAAGGCATTTGTAGATAAGGAAACATGGGTATTGAGAGGTTAATAATTTATTAAATGACTACTGTAGAATATCCTAAGTGGAGAAAACTGAAAATATGAAAAAAATGCTAAATTACTGGTTGAATAGAGGCTGCTGGGGCCTCTGAGACTATGGTCCTTAATTATCCTTTGATCCTGGAACAAAACTCATCCTGGTGCCACAGCTTTCAACCAAACAATAGATGAACCAATAAGGTAATCAGTAATACTAGGAAGGTACTCATGCTTTAGAATAACCAGTCATATAAGGTCAAGAGAGGAACATTTGCCTAAGGATAAATCCCTGAAGGTAGAAAGGGGTGTAATCAAAGAATTCATGGAAATGAGAATTTCAGGAAAGGAAGGAAGGAGGAATGTGATTACGTTGTAGGTATTGTAATAAAAACAATAAAAATGATTGAATGAAAACCCAACAATATTCTTTGTAAACTTCCATTCAAATCACGATTATTTTTAGAAAGATGTGAAAAAAAAGAAATAAAATACCAAAACTAGGACTTTATAAACTTAATCGCCTTTTCTCGAAAATGTATTGCTCAATTCACTATGTCTCAAGAGAGCTCTGGTGTAGTCCACAGGGAATTTCACTGCTAACGCAAAGTCCACTTTTCTGGTGGTTGAAATTTAAAAGCAACTTCTTGGGAGAAAGAAGGACACTCTTCTCTGGTTTGATTTACAGCCTTGTGAACACACTGAAGGGATACCAATTGTGTCTTGTTGACAATGAATATTTTTGAGTTTTTCTATTCTTTGCTGTGTATTGGGGAGACATTTTTCTTTGTAATGTCACAGTTTTCTTCCTTCTACATTATAACTCACTTCACTTGAAAATTTCTGCCTGGTCTCATGTGTCTTTATTCTGTCTTACATATACACAAGACATGATACTTACTCATTCCTGAGTAGCTTATTAAAATTATGTTCTATTGCTTTAGAGGTAATGATATTAAAATGGTTCAAAAGACCATTTTTGTTTTATAATTGCATACTTAGTCTGCGATCAAAGCTAAAACTTGAAAATAAATAAACAGATTGAAATTAAAGCAAAACAACTAGCCATATTCACATCACCCAAACTCAGCCAAGGTTGAGCATTTTGAGATATGTACATACTCTAGAAAATTTTCTAATCTTTTCTTACCTTTGCTTCTAAAAAGCTCTTTTCTCTCTGTTTAGTTCTGTTTGCCAGCCAGAAGATTTGGTTTTGTATACCTCAAATAAACAAGTGAAAAATATTAATCTAAGTAAGATGAAGTTTAGAAGCTATATCAAATAACAAATGAGAGAAAAAAATTAGGACTCTTGTTTGAATTCAGATTATCTATATCATTATTATAGGACAATAAAGATTCTTCAAATTAGTTGAACTTCTGTTGTTAAAATCTATGATTTTTTTTCAGGTTTTGAAGATCATGATAACATGGATGCATCTTACTAAATGGTACCTGGAGACGTGGTGGTCCTTTAGAGAACATATCTAAATTGTTGGACAATTTCCTCATTTATTACTCAACACAGAACATTGATTTTCTCCATCAGAGGAGCCCTCCTAATTTCCCCATCATGCTATCATTATCTGCTTGATATCCTTTCCTAAAATGATCCTTTTGTTAATCCTGGCATTTCTACTTTTGAAAGAAGATGGCCGTGGGAGTGCACAATCCAATGAGAGGAGGGTGGTGGCTCACATGCCAGGTGATATCATTATTGGAGCCCTCTTTTCTGTCCATCACCAGCCCACAGTGGACAAAGTTCATGAAAGGAAGTGTGGGGCAGTCCGTGAACAGTATGGCATTCAGAGAGTGGAGGCCATGCTGCATACTCTTGAAAGAATCAACTCAGACCCCAATCTCTTGCCTAACATCACACTGGGCTGTGAGATAAGGGATTCCTGCTGGCATTCAGCTGTGGCCCTAGAGCAGAGCATTGAGTTCATAAGGGATTCTCTCATTTCTTCAGAAGAGGAAGAAGGCTTGGTGCGCTGTGTGGATGGCTCTTCTTCCTTCCGCTCTAAGAAGCCCATAGTAGGGGTCATTGGGCCTGGCTCCAGTTCTGTGGCCATTCAGGTCCAGAACCTGCTCCAACTTTTCAACATACCTCAGATTGCTTACTCGGCAACAAGCATGGATCTGAGTGACAAGACCTTGTTCAAGTACTTCATGAGAGTTGTGCCATCAGATGCGCAGCAGGCACGGGCTATGGTGGACATAGTGAAGAGGTACAACTGGACATATGTATCAGCTGTGCACACGGAAGGTATGTTCCTTTGTATTTATAGAGTATGTTTCATGTACTTAATAGATCCACAATCAAAAGGTTATCTTTTCAAAATCAATATTATTCCTTTTTTATGTTTAATTCTGTACTGTTCTGCATTTATGAGCACTATTAAGAAAGATCTATGTCTAGAAAGATAGATTTGAACTAATACGAAATTTATGAGACCATCATTTGGTAAAATGGGGATTTTTTTGGTGGTTTTATATTTCTGCTATAATGATGCTTTTTATTGTTTATTGTTGGTTACAAAAAATTGTCTTTAAAATATTCACTGGACATTTCACACTTTAAAACATTTTAAGAATATTAGGATTACTTCTGATAATTAGAAGAAAGTACATATAAAGTTATAGAAAGACTAATAAAACTTTAATTATAGTTCAGGTAACCTGTTATAGGAAATTACAAAATAGTATATTCCTACTGCTAATTTTGAGTAGTGTGAGTAATGAAATAGATTAGAATACACACACACACACACACACACACACACTTATGTATATAAATGGACTACATTTCTTAGTCTCTTTGAAATACTAAATTCTAATTCTTTAGCAGAAAATTTGGGGGGGAAATTTTAACTCTGGCTGAATTTCAATCTAAGTAGTAAGAGTGGAAAGAAACTACTGATATAAAATTGTAGCTATATGTAATATTTGTCCTATAGTTAATGTGGCTTCATTTTTAAAAGCTTATTTTTTCACTAGCACTATCTTGATTTCATTAGTGTGAATTAATTTTATTATAGTACCAAATATTCTCATAGAATACAGTGTTTAATAATACACTTTTTGTTTGCTTTGAAATTCATTGCTTTTATGTTTAAATCACAGTGAGCAAAGAAAATCTGAAGTTTTATAATAGTTGCTAATAATATTAGCCTGTTGTATTGTTTTTGGTGACTTTAAAATGCTTTTATAGATTTTATGTTATAATTCTTAACCAAGGGTGTTTTGGATAGATGTTGTTGCTTCCATTTGACAAAATAGATTTTGAAACCTCTGAAAACATTCTCTGAAAACATTCATTAAGTTTCACAGTGTCATCCTCATAAATGTATTCTTTTGTGTGATCATGATATGTAAATTTTCTTGACATACATGAGAAGACCTCTGAGAACCTTTCTAATGCTGAATTTTTTCCCTAATAAAACAGATTTTTTTTATTAATACAACAAACTTGTGAAAAAGACAAAATATAGTCTTCATCTGATCTAATAGTAATTTCAGAATGAGAAATAGCACTCATAGATATTGACATCTAGTTCAATATATTTCTGTGATTTAACAGAACTCACTGGAATCACACTATGTTGTTGTAATTGTCACTAGACACCTTCCAGCCAATTATTTCTCACAGTGACCCTTTGAACATGGAACTTTGTCCTATCATGTGTTATCCTCACGATTTCAGCCATGTTCAAATTCATTGTTGCAGTGACCATATCAGTCAAATTCAAGGAGGTTCATCCCTTTTTTCACTGACTCTGCTTGTTCCAGTATGATGTCTTTTTCTAAGGACTGGCCTTTCTGATAATATGCCCAAGAACGTGAGAGGAAGCTTCACCATCTTTATCTCTAAGGAACATTGTGGTTGCACCTCCTCCAAGACAGATTTGTTTGTTCTTTTGACAATCCATGTAGTAGGCAATACTCATCATTAATATGAGAGCTCCTTTTTTTGGTCTTCCTTATTCAAATGTGGTATGCATATGAAGCAACCAAAATATCCTGTGGCCCATACTCAGCATAGGCCCTTGGCGTGCTCACTTGGTTATGCCAAGAAATTTGGTACATAGCTACCTGGTTAACTGACTGGAAGAGTTCCATACTTTCTCCCATTTTTAAAAAAAAAGGTAGTCCAATAGAATGTGGAAATTGTCTAACAATATTGGTAATATAACATGTAAGTAAAATCTTGCTGAAGATTATTTTGAAATTGGCTAGAACAGTGTACCGATAGGAAACTGTCAGGAATTCAGACCAAATATTATGCACTTACTGCAGAGGGTCAAGGACTGCAGCCTTCAATATGGACTGAGGCTCAATGTCCAGAAGACAAAAATTCTCACCACTGGACCA